CCCGATAAACTTCAACTTCAGCTTCAAGTAAAGCATTATCTTGGTTTGTATCTTATAACCCTATCAAAGTGGAATGAAATGCTTGTTCGGTTAATTAGATAGTAGATTTCACATTTGGGTTGTCAACTAGGAGAGAATGGAAAAGTGTGGGAGTTTGATGGTGTGTTTGCTATGGAATTTGATAATGTGAAACTCGTAGATTAGAAAAGTGTAAGTAGGTGAAACTTTACTCCATGACAAAAATATGTAACAATAAATAACTTAGTATAACTTCAACAGCAAAACTGCATAACTAGTATTAACTTTAAGAGTTGAATTTTTTTTTGTACAACAGATAATGGGTTAATTTTCTACAAACAAACACTTTGACTATGATAAAAATTATGAGAAATCTGGAGATGATTTTGAATGGATTCCAAGCGATGGTCGTTTGTATGCTATATCCTTTAAGACATCATCATTGGATGAGATCACTTATTCATTTTTGAAGGAGAGGATATGCAAGAATAAGACCATAGATCTGTGTACAAAGAAGCTGAATTTGAGTTACATTCCAATGGTAGTAGAACCTAAGAAGAAATCATGTATTTTGGATGATGAAGATGTGTTCGTGTATCTGACATGAGTGGATAAATAGGGAAGAAGACGTAGTTTGCATGTAGAGATCATCAAAGAAATGGAAATACTTCTAGTAACGGAGCAACAATCAGGAGTTGAGAAAGAAAGGTCATATGGTGGGAACCATACTTAGCTTGTGAGTGGATTACCCGAAGTTGAAGTTAATCCAGGTGCAGTCACTCTATTTACTCAAATTGAAGAAGCAGAAGGATATCTAGCGGGTGCTGAACGGATGGAGAATGTTGTTAATGGAGAAGGCGACGGAGGTGGCATTGGTTTGGATAACATAGACAGCGTGGACAATGAGGGAACGTGGATAACTCTAATGGTGTTCCTCCAAATTTCGACTATGTTGAGCTGCCACGTGTTGGAAAAGAAATTTTAGTGGTTGCTGAGTGGGAAGATGGTTTGGGTTTTAAGTTGTTTCAAGAATCCCCGAGTAAAGAATCTTTCAAAGATATTATTGATAGAGCATCACAGCAGAACTCTTTCAGAATCAGTATCGCCAACTCGGATAAGAGTCGATAAGTGGTGAAATATCAGGGAGCAGCTGAGGGTTGTAAATGGGGTGTGAGAGCTACAAAGATAAAAAAAATTATGAATCGATCGCGATTAAAACATACATAAATATGCATTCATGCTTTCGCGCAACGTCAAGTACTGGAACGAAAAGGAAACCTACACCAAGATGTGTTGCAGCTATAGTGCATAAGGATTATCCGAGACTATTTGAGATACCAATTGCTAAAACCCTGGTCGGTCTGGTGCAAAGGATATTAGGTGTGGAAGTGTCCTATGCGACATGTTGGAGAGAGAAATAACAAGCTGTTGTGGATTTGCGTGGTAGTCCCGAGGAAGGATACAAGAGATTGCCTTCTTATTTTTTTCTATGTTAGAGAATGTAAACCCAAATACAAAAACAAGTTTGTTATTGGATGAAAAAAGGTAAAAATACCTATTTGTTGTGTTGGGAACTTCTATTGAAGGGTTTGATACATCAGGAAAATCATTACTGTGGAAACAACTTTCTAAAGACTGTTGAAACTGGTGTTTTAATAATTGCAACGGCTCAGGATCCAAACCGTCACCATTATCCTTTAGATTTTATTGTCGTTGATGGGGAGAAATTGCAAGCTGGAAATGGTTTTTCATAACGCTGAAAACTGTTATACCGGATTCGACGGAATTGGTGTTGTTTCAGACAGAAATCCAAGTCTCATTAAAGCCGTTTCTGAAGAGTATCTGATGTCTGAACATGGGTATTGTATCTGGCATCTATCGCACAATGTGAAAGGGCATGTCAAACAAGGTAGGGACGAGATTGCAGAACAATTCAAGAAAGTTGCACAAGTTTATTCAGAGGCTGAGTTTTAACAGTAGTATCAAGAGTTTAGGGAGAGATATCCACGGTGTGCTACGTATATTGATAGAAGTGTGGAGGTCAAAGAATGGGTGAAGTGTCATTTCCCCGGTGCAAGGTACAACATAGACACTTCTAATTGTGCGGCGTCTTTGAATGCGCTATTCGAAAAAGTATGAAAATGTCTTTACTGCCTATGCTCGATACAGTTATTGACAAAATGGCTGAGTCGTTCAACAAACATAGGAAGGAAGCAGCAGCCGAACCGTCATCTCAAAAATTGGTTCCATATGTGGAGAACAAAATGCATAAGAGAGTACCGAAGGTGAAAAACTACAAGTGACTCCGCTGAACACTTTTGAGCTTGAATACAGTGTTATTGGAAAAGACGGGAAGACTTATTTGGTGGATTTTCATCATAAAACGTGCAGTTTCAAGAAGTTTGATATAGATATATACCCATGTGTCTATGCAATAGGTGCTGCCATTAAGTGTTTGAAGCATGACAGACCAATAGAGTTGAGTGACATGTATGATGTAATCTCCCCTGATTACTTGATTAGAGTGTGGGTTTTGGCGTATCGAAGGACTATATACCCAGTCCCTCTTATCTCTGATTGGATCAGTCCAAAAGAAGTCGAGAAAAATTGTCCCTTACCTCCATAGTACGAAAAAGGGAAGAACTCAGGTAAAAAGGTTTCCTTTGATAGGAAAAAGTCGTCCCTGTCCTAATAAGTATGTCCCGAATAGGTATTTGGGTCGCTGGTTCAATTGCTCGCAGGGAACTGAAGGATCGCAAGGAACACAAAGAACATAAGGAACACAGGGGAAATCTAATAGGGAAGGAGTTGATTGTAAAACTTTGTGAAACCTGCATTACATGATTGTATAACTTTGTGAAACCTGCGGTATATGATTGTAAAACATGGTAAAACCTACGTTATATGATTGTAAAACTTTGTTGAACTTCTGTTATATTAATGACATTTGATCACATTACTTGCACTTTAGATCACATTACCTGCACTTTAGATCACGTTAGCTGCAGTTTAGTTCACGTTAACTGGAAACTTTTAATATCTGGATCACATTTTGATATCTGAATACATTGTTATAATATAGTTTTCCCTGGACGTCACATTGTGGGATTAGAAAAGTTATATACGTCATGAAATCAAATAAATTTTCACATGAAGACATCAGAAATGCATATAGAAAACATAATATAGCTGGTATAAGCAAAAATTAATCTTCTATGTACAGTAAAACTAAAACAATCGGAAATAACAGAAAGTTAAACTTTAAAGGTTTTTGTATAACTACAAACTATGTGAAACTCGAAGCACGGAAAACCTTTAAAACTTTTTCCCGCCCAGTTTTTTGAATTTTCCCATCCATTTTTTGAATTTTCACTCTCCCCAAAATCGACGTAGACGTGTATTAAACTCATTGTTTTTTTGTTTCCCCCATTTATGTCAACAGAATCTCTCTCTTCACTATTCAGTCTCTCTCCTCTACATTTCTCTGTGGAGCAACCAAATTTCTCTTTGAACCCTCTCTAGGCGATCTTTCTTCTTGCTTCCTAACTCGAATCATGACTCATCTATACAAGGTTTCTATACATATGAAGGCTTTGAAGGAGTATAACGACATGCTAGGCTTTGTGCCGGATGCCCAGTGTGGGATTCCGACCAGATTCCCTTGTGGGGGGAGTATCATTAACGAGGTTTTTTGAGAGCCAAAGTATCATACCGATGTTGACACTTTACCAGGGAGAAAATACTTCACCTGAAAAAATTTCGAGGTAATTTATGGATACTTCCTTGTTTTATGTGCAGATTTTGATACTTTCTGGTTTTATGTGTAGAACGATGGCCTCCATTTCCGTCAATCATGGATCTTTGGTGTCTAGGAAGAGGTTGAAAGGTTAAGGGACCATGTGGAAGTCATGGCTGCAGAGATTGCTGAACTCAAGTATAAGCTTTCCCATCAGAATCCTACCAGTCATTGACATGCGTCCAGTACATTACTTGCAAGACTTTTCTTATGTTGTTGTCGTTGTGGAATAACTCTGTTGTTTGCTTAAGGATGATGTTCTGATCTCTTATTTGCTCTTTCACGAACTAAGATGACAGTCTTTGAAAAGTTTCCCTTATTTTCTCTTTCATGAACTAAGATGACAGTGAAACTATGAAAATTTTCACTTATTTTCTCTTTCACGGACTTTATTTTCACTTATTTTCTCTTTCACGGACTTTAGTTTCACGAAATTATACTAAGATATGAAAGTTTTACTTTGAAAAGTTTCCCTTATTTTCTCTTTCACGAACTAAGATTACAATGAAACTTTGTAAGTTTCTCTTATTTGCTCTTTCGCGAACTTTAATTTCACGAAGTTAGACTAAGATATGAAAGTTTTACTTTGAAAAGTTTCCCTTATTTGCTCTTTCACGAACTAAGATGACAGTGAAACTTTGAAAAGTTTCACTCATTTGCTCTTTCACAAATTTTAGTTTCACAAAGTTAGACTCAGATGATAGTGAAACTTTCAAAAGTTTCCCTTATTTGCTCTTTCACGAACTTTATTTTCACGAAGTTAGACTAAGATGATAGTGAAACTTTTAAAAGTTTCCCTTATTTTCTCTTTCACAAACTTTAGTTTCACGAAGTTAGACTAAGATGACAATGAAACTTTGAAAAATTTCACCCACTCTAAATAGTATTTGGCAACAACAAACCAGAAAGTCTCAAACAACATAAGTCTTCAACTTCAAACAAGAAAGTCATACGGGAATTCAAGGAAGTCATACAAACCAAATAAAGTTCATACAAACCACATACAGATTTCAGACCGTACTCTTACACCTGTCTTCTTCTGGGCTGCCTCCTTCTCAACTGCTGCCTCTTTCTTCTGCTTCTTCTGGGCTGACTCCTTCTGCTTCTGAGCTGCCTCCCTTGATTGGCGCCTTGTCCCAATGGGACTCCTCACGTTATCGCCCTCTGTCTTTTTCGGAGGAACTACTTATTTTCCATCATATATTCTCGCCCTCTTCTCTTTCTTCTTTTTAGTCTTTGCCTTTTCAGACATCTTAGTCTTGAGCTGCGCGGCCGCTGCATACATCTCTGCAGTATCATCCATTTCATCATCACCATTACCATGGTCACACTGAACTTGGTTTGCAATAGTGAGAACACTATCATCCTTAGAACCACCTTCTTTATCTTTCTCCGACGGAATATCACAACCATCTTCCTCCGACAGAGTAGCACCGCCATCTTCCTCCGACGGATTATCATCTTTATCTTTCTCCAATGAATTATCACCAACATCTTTCTCCGATCGAGTATCACTTTCCTCTTCCGACGGCAGTTCACCAAGACCGGGTTCACTAACCCTAAGACTTTTCTCTTCGTTTTCTAGAAGAGTTACCCGGTTAGACAATGAATTGTTTGTTAATTTCCTTCATACAATCTCGGATTTCATTCGTAATTCGACCTTCCATCGCTTTTAAAGCCTCAACTCCAAGATCCTTCACTGAATCTGCATGAGGAAGACTATTTTCTGCATTATTGGATGGTCCCCCAATATTATGAATGGTGGGGCTTTCAACCTGAGTTGTACGAGCCCCATAATCGATGCGGAACTGCTCTTCAAAGAAAATTTGTTTCTTCCCTTTTTGTATTATCTTGGTCCAACGATCAACTCCTGCTTCATTATCGTCATCGGTCCAGAAACTTTCCTTGCCCATCCATATGCTTTCCAGAAGTTCGCTCTTATCCGCTGTTGCTACCAAGATACTCATAATATCATGTTCCGCCAAATAGACATAAAACATTAATTACCTTAGTTTCACCAAGTTTTCATAAGTCCCTTCTCCTTAATTCGACTACACATAAAACATCAATTACCTTAGTTTCACCAAGTTTCCCATTCACTGCATTCAGAATGTATGCCTTTGTTCCACCTTTGCGTTTGTACTGCATCTTGCACATCCGCGGGCAACCAGTGCGTGCACCAGTCACAATTTCTCGGAAATGGTTCCTTAAGTCTGGAACTGCCTCAAAGGCCAACAACTACGAACACACAACAAAAAACATTAACATCGACTTATAAATAAGACAACTAAGTACAAAGGAGCTTAAAAATACATCCAAAGGAATATGAAAGCTTGTAAAACCCCAACTCGTCAGCACAACCATGTTGCATTTCTCCAATAAGATAAAGACATCCTTCAAGTTATGTTTTAATGCATACCGCCCCCAAGGGAAACTTAAACACGCATCTAGGTTATCAACAACAGTCTGGAAGAAACTGTCCACAGGTGATGATCCCTCTCCAGTCTTTCGGCCTCCGACGAGGATGGTGGCTAAGAAGTATAGAGCAGCCATCTTTAGACAATCCTGAGATGGGTTTGATTTCATTGCCAACATCTGCTTCTCCATCTCAGCGTATGTAACCCTTTTCTCTTCAAAATACTTTTTCATTAATGTTGTACCACCCAACCTTTCATACTCATGGCACTATAGTCCATAAATTAGTCTGAATTCTCTAAGAGAGTATCGGATTGGGACGCCATTAACGATAAACCATAACTCATACTTCTTTGCTACAGAAGCTGATCGCAACACGAGAAGCCACATTCCAATCAACTTATGCTTTATGTTTTTAATATGGAAGAAATGTTGGAATTGTGGGTGCTCTAAGAACCATTCCACCTCCTTCTCTTTCATGATCGTTTGAATATTTTTTATCGCTGTGTAAATGTGACATTTTCCTGAAATCTTCAACGACTTTTGATACTGGCTTGAAGGAAAGTGAAACTTCATCAGTAGCATGGCTCTTTCTTCGTCATCTACAAGCTGCACTCAAGTGAAAACCGGATCACGTACGACACCTTACAACCATCAACATAAATTTTCACAAACTTGGACTTAGTTAAGCAATCATAAAGTTGAAGTTTGTCTTGGCTTTACAAAGTTGGTACATCTATATTGTTGAAGTTCAACTTAGATTTACAAAGTTTAACATTACAAGTTCTAGTTTGTTTCTCAATACCATAAATTGCACTTAGTTTTCCACATTTATATAATCTTTCAAATCATATTTCGATTTTTTTTCAAAAGTTCTACAAATGCCTATAGTATTTGAATACTTACCTCTACATGCGACTCAGTTTCATGTTCTCGTACTGATAATTGGGTAGTCCTTCCTTCAGCTTCTTCGTCATTTCTTCGGGGCTCCATTTCATCTCCTTCTTTGGGCTCCTTCTCTTCTTCTTTGGGTTCCTTCACCTCTTCTCCGACTTCCTTCTCTTCGTCCCCGCCATCCTTCTCTCCTTCTCTTTTGTTGTCTTCTCCTACTTCTCCTACTTCACCTGATTCCTCCTCTTCCTCTTTCTCACTTGCATTTTTTTTCGCTTTCATCTGCATCTCGAAGACTTTGCTCGGTTACCAGGGTGAGAGATTTGTCGATCGTGCTTGGGTTTGCTTCATCCCTACTAGCTTCTATGGATTCTAAAATCATAGCTGTTTCTTCTCCTCCTACACTACTCCAACCGTCTTCTTTCACCTTTGGATTGTCTCCATTCAACATGATTCTGGTTTTGATTCTCGATTGAGTAGGGGTTTTAAAATTTCAAGAGAGACGCGAGCAGTCGACAGAGGGAGAAATGAGTGAAACCTTCCTTATTTTTATTCTTACAAGTTCATTTGTTTTACTTTTCAACCTCAATTTTCAATTTCTTCCTTATTTTTTTCTTCCGATTTAGTTGGGTCGGTATTGTGTTCGGGTATGGATAGTCTTAGGTCGAATTGTAAATATCTAAGTATCTCTTGGTTCCGTGGTCTTTTCATAATTTTTCCGATTTAATTATAGATTTATCTGTTTTCGATTTCGGACAGGAGTATCACATTTTTTTTTCCGGGTAGGAGTATCTGAGCAATTGTCTCATATCATTAACCTAGGATTACCATTGTACTCTCTGTATATATTAGACTTTATTTCCTTTCTAATAAAATACATTCCACATTCTATATGGTATCAGAGTCGTCTCTCCTAACCTAAAACCCTATTTTTCGAAACCTCACACCTACAACTATGGCTTCTTCAAACAATGATAATTCTTTTCCTGCAACCGTCAGAGAAACCATTCCCACCAACCACAACAATCAAATGGTTCTCAACATTAAGATGACCGACGTGCCAAAACTTTCACCCACAAACTACCTCATGTGGAGCCTCCAAGTCCAAGCTTTGGTTGATGGCTATGGCCTTATTGGGCACCTAGATGGATCGACTGCGGTTCCACCAAAAGAAGTCAGTCTCAATTGTGTCAGCACTCTAAATCAAGATCATGTAATCTGGAAAAGACAAGATCGCTTGATATACAGTTCTCTACTTGGTGCGATCTCCTTACCTCTTCAACGCCTTGTCTCTCACGCTGCTACTGCTGCTCAGATTTGGGATACTCTGTCTTCCACCTATGCGAAGCCGAGTCGAGCACACGTCAAAAACCTCAGACACCAACTCAAGTATTGGAAGAAGGAGAACAAGACCAATTATGTCTACATTTAAGGTATCACTACCAAACTGGATCAACTCGCTATCCTTGGGAAACCAATGGAATATGAAGATCAAGTTGATGCTATACTGGAGGGTCTTCCGGACGAATACAAGAAAGCTGTGATCAGATTGAAGGACGTGAGACAACACCTTCCATTCCAGAGATCCCTGAGAAGTTTCTTCATCATGTAGCAAAGCTTTTGTCATCCTCTCAGGTGCCATCTACCCAGCTTCCTGTCTCTGCAAACATGGTTGTTGGTGTCAAAATCGGTCACGACGGAATCAATGGCTAAAGTTTCCGCAAAAAATAAAAATACGTTTTATAAAACTCGAAAAGTCATTTTATAAAACTCGAGAAGTCGTTTTATGAAACTCTAGAAGTCATTTTATAGAACTCAAGAAATAATTTTATAAAACTCGAGAAGTCATTTTATAAAATCGAAGGAAATCTGCAGAAAACATGAAAAATAGTTATCTCGGAAAAAATGAAACAAACGCCGATTACACGATCGTCCGAGTTAAGCACAAAACCGCGAAAAACCACATCCTCCGTACGGCAAGCTAAGTGGCCTCGAGGTTACGGCGAGCTGCACCGGTCCGGTTCGGCTCGTCGTACGTCGAGCTGATTATCCCAAGCCTCGATCTCTCACGTCCTCGATTCAAAGCATACGTCCTTCGGGACGATCATGTTCCGCACCACGGTCAAAATATGTCTCTTTTCGTGTCGATCTGTCCTATCGTTCGAGTTTTACGATAAATACCGTAGAGTCTTATTTTCTCAAAAGAACTCGAACAAATTGTAAAAATCGTAAAAATGCATTTACTCGAGAGCTCGAGATTTTTCATGCTAAATCGTAAAAAACGTGTTTTTAATAAAACCTCAAGTAAATCGTAAAAAATGGCAACGATTAACAAAAACATCGAACATTGCCACACTTTACGATTAACTCGAGATACTTATTTAAAAACAGAATCGAATCAGGAAACGATCTCGTATAAAGTCGTAAAACGGTTTAACCGCGAAACGGCCCGAAAAGTCCTAAAACGCGATAAAAGCCTATCTCGCGACTTCAACAAAATCTAACCCGAAGATACGAAGACGTTTTGACGATTTACTCGCAGAAAGAAGATAAAGGTTAAATTTGAAGATAAGTGTCAAGTTTGAGGATAAATAGAAGATTTCCGCGGGAAAAAAAGAAAGATAGAGATAAATGGAAGATTCCAGATAAACTCGAATCTGGGCGAAATGGAAGGACCAAACCGCCAAGGAAAAGAGTATATAAGAAAGAGGCATAGGACAGAGACAAAAAACGAATTTCAGAGCTCTCATCTGAGACTTTTAAACCTTTTCTAGTCTTAGAATTTTCCGCACTTAGAAACTTAGGCTTTTTTCTCGACAAGTTCGGTTTTTATGACTGGCGCTCACGTACCAGAAAAACTCGCTCAGGCAGTTCGATCTCTTGTCCAGCTCTATCAACTGAACTACGTTAAACTTGATCCTCGAAAGGGGTACGTAGGTAGCCTTTCATAAGGTTCAGTCTGAAATCGATCAAACTCTCTTTTTCTTATCTTTTTCGTCTTTTGTTATCGAGCTGCGACTCGATTAGGTTTAGGGTTTTATGTTGATAACTCGCTGACGGCCCCTGCGGCCAAAGCCTTTGTAATCTCTTGAAAATATCGCAACGCTCTTACGTGAATTTGAAATAAGATTTTCTTTAAAAATTCTTTTTATCATGTTTTACGTATTTTCCGCATTTATTTGGTTACTTGTCGTTGGCTTCCGCAGAGATCCGGGTCCTCTGGAAAATAGGGTTTTCCTAAGTTTCCTTATTTTACAGAAATCGACAGTGTCTATTTCGGTTCCCAAAATTTGGCGCTAGAAGGAGGGGGGGTCGGATTACTCTTACTCATAGTCGCAAAACGCTTGACCAAAATGATGTCTGGATGTATGAAAGACAAGGTCGCAACTCACAAAAACACTGGTAAAACAACTCCAGCAGCTACTACTCCTACAGCCAACACTCACGTAAACGATGTAGTACTCAACAAAATCGAAAACCTAATCGCGACACTTAGCCACGGGAAGAGCAACAAAACAAGCTCGCGATTTCTGACTCGGATCACTAAGGGCAACGATGAAATCTATTAAACCCCATAGTGCTTTTCTTATTCCCGAGTTTGACCAATCTCACAGGTTGAGAAAAAGATGTTTTCCGAGAACTGTTCGGAAAAATAAAACTTTCTCTCCCAGAAACTGCGGAAAAAATCCCTAGGCTATTCGTAGAAAAATCCTTAGGTTACTCACGGAAAAAGCCCTAGGTAACTCGCAGAAAAACCGTAGGTTATTCACGGCAAAACCCTAGGTCGTTCGCGGATAAATCCTAGGTTACTCACGGAAAAACCTTAGGATATCGCTTCATGGGTAGCTCGCCGTACGGCGAGCTATCGCTTCACGGGTAGCTTGCCGTACGGCGAGCTATCGCTTCATGCGTAGCTTGCTGTATGGCGAGCTATCACTTCACGGGTAGCTCGCCGTACGGGAAGCTATCGCTTCACGGATAGCTCGCCGTACGGCGAGCTATCGCTTCACGTACGGCGAGCTAACCAGCCTTTCACCTCGCGCAAGAGGTGCTGACTTTGCCCCAAGGGTTCTTGTCGTCCAGCTCTCCATACGGCAAGCTGAACCGTCCAAGTTATCTCGCCGTACGGCAAGCTGAACCGTTCAAGTTAGCTCACCGTACGGCGAGCTAACCAGCCTTTCACCTCGCCCAAGAGGTGCTGACTTTGCCCAAGGGTTCTTACCATCCAGCTCGCCACACGGTGAGCTGAAAGGGTTCACCTGGCTCACCCTACGTTGAGCTGAACCAATCCTCGAGTTTCTCTCTCGAGTCTTGAACGCGCTGATTCTCGTTTCGTGTCAAACGGAATTTCCATCGAGATTTTATGACAAAAACCGCAAAGACTTGTTTCTTCTTATAAGTTCGAATCAATCGTCTAAAACGGCAACGGTCGACTTAAAACCAAAGTTGCCTAAACTATACGAGAGATCTGAACTTTCTAAACGTAATCCGGTTTTACGAAACTCTGCCATGCTAAGTCGAAAACATCCAATCATAAACGCGTGATTGAATTTTTGATATACAAAGTTCACCTAGTCGGTTAAGTAAAACCAGCAGTAAGAAGAAACAAGAACATAAACTCCGATGGTTAAGTCTTCTCCCCGCTCCGATACTCTTGTTGGTAATTCGTCGAAGACCAATAAGTCAAAAGACGAAGAACGAAGAATAGGCAGTCCCAAATCATCGATGAAACTAAGGTATGTCCGATTTGAAAATTTTATTAAACTTCTAATTTCTCGTAGGTAAAAAATGAAAACGTCTTGTAAACTGCCTTAAAACCTAGAGAACTTAGAATTTAGGGGACAAACTAGAATGCTAAGTCGTAAACAATTTTTCTCTATCTCGGTCTATTGTTCTCTAACCATTCAGGCATAACTTGCAAACCGATCCAATCTCTCGTACAACCGAGAAACGATCACCACGCATTCGAGCGTACTCATTTCCTGAAAGATAGAAGGAGCTAGTGACGCTGACGTCGTCTTAAAACCGATTCGCTCCTAGAAATTTTTTTAAATCAGACATCCAAGTCATCAGCAATCAACCATTGTCCTTAATCGACCCAGGATTGTTGATCATCCCAATCCTTCAACGGAAACTCATATTTTTTCTTTTCGTCGAATACTTTTCCTCTCATCAAGAAAATGCTTTCTATAAAGCAAACTCTAGCAAAAATAAGTAGAAAAATATTCAGACAATGCGACGCCTCGTCAAAATCATCCCAAAATCAAACGACAATCTAATAACCGTCTAAACGCTAAAGACTGATCCAAACCGTCTGGGAAATCATCTCGAGGACTATACAGCATCTCTCGTCAAAATCATGCGGTTAGAAAATCTCTGCGAAAATTCAGAGTGAAACTCGATGATTTGCCGAAGTCATAAAGATCTTCTCCAACTTGATAAAACAAGTTC